AAGTGCAAAATGAGAGAAAAAAGACAGGCAAAGCAAGGGGAAGAAACAAAGAGAGAAAAAGAGAGAAAGAGTTTGATCAACACCCACCCATCCATCCATCCATTATTTATGTATCTCTATATTCATATATCAAAAGGAATTGACCTTCATAGAACCGCTGGAAATGATATTGTGGGTAGTTAACACTGACATTTCAAAAGGGAGTGGCCTTTGATTATTCCAGCTTGAACCCTTTCAGGTACATTGCAGTAGCAGAAAGTAGGACAACAGGTGATCCCTCTTCTTTTCTGAAACTATTTGATGGATCGGGACGATGTATCTGACAATAGTTTGGAATGCCTACCTAGACATAGTTACAATCCTCAACCTAACACCCAGAATTGAGCCCAAACAATCTGGTGCTAAGCAGGACAGTTGCTAAGGGAATTTTGTCCTGTTTTACAACCTTTTTTGACAGTTGTTTAGTGAATCACTGCAGTTGTTAAGCTAGTAACATGGTTGCTGCATGAATCTGGCTTCCCCGTGGATTCTGCTTGTCAGAAGGTTGCAAAAAGGGATGACCTGATCCAAGGACACTGCAGTCATCCTATATATGAGGCGGTTGCCAAGTGTTGAAGTTTGGTCACGTGATCATGGGGATGCTGCAATGGCCATAAGTGTGAAAACAGTCATTAAGTCCCTTTTTTCAGTGCTGTTGTACCTAAATGCCACTAAAGGAATGACTGTAATTCAGACGCCTGGCAATTGACTCAGATTTAATGGGGAAGCCAGATTCACTTAACAACAGTGAGACTAATTTAAGAACGGTAGTGATTCACTTAACAACTGTGGCAAGAAATCTCGTAAAATGGGGATACTCACTTAACAAATGTTTCATTTAGCAACAGAAATTTTGGGCTCAATTGTGGTCATAACTCAAGGACTACCTGTACTTATGCTCTCCCATTGCAGAAGCTGTAACTTTAACCTGATGTCCAACTTTTTTTTTAAACTGCTGCCTGAAATTTCCTGACATTTAGGATAATGAATCAGAAGTTGTGGGTGCTCCAACACTGGAAGCTTTTAAGAAGAGATGGGACAGCCATTTGTCTGAAATGGTGTAGGTTCTCCTGCTCTTTTGCAGAAGTTCTCAGCTAAGACTGCCATCTGCTTTAAACGCCCTTCTTGACATTTCTTTTTCTTTCCAGATTCTGTGGAAGATGTGCAGCAAAAGTGTCCTAAATGTCCAATTCTGTTGCCTCTGAGTGACCCTCACGTGGTAGACTCTGTTGAATATGTACTTAATAAACACAATGAAAAACTTTCTGGCCACATTTACGAAGTTCTTGAGATTTCAAGAGGGCAGCACAAAGTAAGTGTGCAGAGGTTAAAAAGGAATTCTGTTGATCTCTTCCAGTTTAACGTTTTGATACTTCATATAACTAAGAGAAAGGAGGAGGAAACAGGAGGAATTATGCTCTGCAAAAAGTCTAGGAAAAAACCAGATACCCACAAAGGAGACTATTTGTTGCTCAGGATTGAAATGAGGGGTCCTTCGTCCTGTCTGAGCTTCGTTGCTTTCTTGCAGACATTATAGTAACTAAACTAGGTAACATCATCAGTGCTAGACCGATGATCGACTAGAACGGATGACGTTACCTAGTTTGGGTAGTGAAATGTCTGCAGGAAAACAACCAAGCTCAGTGAGCACCAAGATCCCGCAAAGAACCAGCTGCTAAGAAAAAAGGGAGAGGCAACTTTTCAAGAACCAGGGGCTCTAGCCGATTTTTTAAAATTTACGTTCCAGGCCTCTGACCGTAGTGAACAAGGATTCACTGATGTTTTATTTATAAAATATAATTACAGCCAATACCCAGCCAAGTGAAACATAGAAGCAGCCACCAAGTAAAACAGAAGCAATGAAACAGTCATATAAAAAGCTAGGAAATCCTCATTTATTAGGGGCTCTGGGGCTCACAAAATACCTCTCCCTCTGCCAAGGGAAGGTGGGAAATTTCAGTAGCAACAGGTGACCACAGGTGACTGTGGGATATGTAGCAGACAGGACTAAAATTCTTTCTCCCAGCTCTTCACTTTTGCCATTTCTACCCACAACCCAACTAAAACGTCTCTTGCTTTGATTTCAGTATGAGCCTGAAGCTTACTATGTGGAGTTTGTTATTGTGGAGGTTAACTGCACTGCTCAGGAAGCCCACGATGACCATCATCAGTGCCATCCTTATACATCAGGAGAAGAGGTAAGTGCGAGGGTCAACTCCAATCCTATCTAGACCGGATTCTTTCATTCAGTAGTAGCTTTATCTTTTCCCCTGCATAGCAGTCCTTTGACCATTTCAGGTTTGCTGATATGTGGAGGATTTATTTGGGTTCCCCTGGAAATATCTTAGTTCTTCCTTCTCTCCCTCCCTTTCTCCAGCATATTGGATTCTGCAGAGCAACTGTTTTCAGGTCGCATGCTAGCCTGGAAAAACCTAAAGATGAAAAGTTTGAGTCGGACTGTGTCATCTTTGATATCAAGGTATGTACGTTAAATGCAATTTTGTTCACCCTCTTTCCCTGTTCTCCACAGCACTGTTTGTCAACCTCATCAACTTTAAGATGTGTAGACTTGAACTCCCAGAATTCCCCAGCCAACAGGCTGGCTGGGGAATTCTGGGAGTTGAAGTCCACCTATCTCTTAGTTTCTCTTATCCATTCTGTCCATCCAAGCAGCTCAAAATTAACTTCCTGTTCCAGCTATCGATTCCCCTGCATCCCTTCACATGAGTAGATGCTCTGATATATAATAAAGTCTGTTTGATCCTGGCTTAGCATAATGCAACTTTTATGATTTGTAAACACTAGATTATTTTATTTATATACTTCATTTTCTCTGAGATTATTATTTTACACTCACCAGTTTGGATTGTAGGTTGGGCTGAGACAGAATAACTGGCTCAGAGCTATCCAGAAATTTATCTAGCCAGGAAGAGTTTGAATCTAGATCGCCCCAGTCCAACTCTGGCCCCTTAATTGCCATGCTATTTATTCAACAAACTGTGGTTATAACACATTATGCCTTAGTGATATGCCTTACAATAACATAAAGAAGACAATCTCCAAGGTCCCTTCCATCTCTGGTATTCTATGTTCTGTTAACTGAAGGACTAATTGCAGTTTTTCAATATTATTCATTTGATTTCTATTCCAACATTCACCAACTGCCAAATTACAGCAAGTCCTCAATTTAAGACCACACTCCCATTTTTTTTATTGCTAAGCAAGACTGTTGTTAAGTGAGCTTTGTCCCATTTAAACCCTTTCTTGCCACAGTTGTTAAGTGAATCACTGCAGTTGTTAAATTAGTAACACGGTTGTTAAGTGAATCCGGCTTCCCCATTGAGTTTGCTTGTCAGAAGGCTGCAAAAGGGGATCACAAGACCCCAGGACACGGCAACCGTCATAAATAGATTCTGACTGCAAAGCATTTGAATTTTGATCATGTGACCATGGGGATGCTACAAGGGTCGTAAGTGCGAAAAACGGTCATACTGTAGGTTGCTTTTTTCAGGGCATTTGTAATTTCAAAAAGTCACTAAATGAATGATTGTAAGTTGTATTGAAAATATTAACACCAGTTGGTTTTCTTGGTTCACTTTTGTCAAGCTGGATTTTAATGTGTTGGAAAATTCAAAGCAGGATAAGCTTCAGGTTCAATGGCCGAAGAAGACTCATCAGTGCTTGCATGTTTTGTGTTTTTTTTTTCCAGGAGGGACACGCTCACTCCCATTTGATTGAGCATCACATTGGAAAATATAGTACTTCCCCAGGACACAACAATACTGTTCTCAACCTCGTCCATTCACACAATCATACAAGCGCCTCACATGAGTCTCATGAACATGAACATGTGGCGGAAGTCCCAGTTGCTGTGGCCAAAAGAGAAGTCCCAACAGATACACCACATGATCACACACACCCTGTGAAAGGTTGTCCAGGAAGAGTACATCACTTCAAGCTGTAGGCCAGCCATACTAGAGAGCATCGAGAAACCACCCAGTTAGTGCAAAACCGTTTTCCAAATCTGAACTCAAAGCTTGAATCCAAAAAGGGTTTACCCTGACACATTACAGTCTTTGCCAAGTGTTGTGATCACCCATGGATGTTATAAGAAAGGGGCTTTGTATTTGTGCCTTTCTGCTTATAGAAATGCAGATTCTGATGCTCACCTAACATCTTCCTGTCCCTCTCTCTGTTCAGCCAAGGAACGAGAAAAAAGTTGATCAGAAGTTATATTAGTCCTAAAGTCCAAATTCTTCCTTTTTTTTCTTTTAAAGAGAAAATACATAGCATTTGACAACAATACCCCCAAAGTCCCATCACCTCTATTCCTTAAGAGATTTGTTTTTCCCCAGAATGTTTTCTCCGTTCTACATTATTTGACAGGGGCAATGTTGAATACAGTCCAAAAAATGACAGAAAAAAGCAGAGGATACTTTCTAAATAAATTGTTCAATTGTAAAATTGCCTTGCCCTTTGTTTTGCTTTATGTTTGTGGCCAGATGGCCTTAATCACTCTGAATGAGAAGTCTGGGAATTATAGTTCAGCACCTCTAGGAAAGGACATGGGGTCGACCTATTCTCCCAAGCACCTGAAGTCAGAACAAGAAGCAACAGATGGAAACTAATCAAGGAGAGAACCAACCTAGAGCTAAGGAGAAATTTCCTGACAGAACAATTAATCAGTGGGATGGCTTGGCTGAGAGGTTCTGGGTGCTTCATCACTGGAGGTGTTAAGAAGAGATTGGACATTCATTTGTCTGGAAGGGTATAAAGTCTCCTGACTGAGCAGGGGGTTGAACTAGAAGACCTCCAAGGTCCCTTCCAAGTCTTTTATTCTGTTATTCTTCAGTCCAATCACAAAACCTAAAGCTTAAACAACTGATGATCCCTCACTAACCCATTGAGTATATTTTGACTCTTTTTGCCCAGGTTATATATAGGGGTAAACTCATCTGTTCTTTGAACAAGACTCATTCCATTTTGTACTTCTCAGCTCCTCTAAGTAGACCATTATCAGCAAATCAACTCCACAGGAAGACTAGAGCTATACTTTATTGAGATAGGAAAGTGTTTCTCAACCTTGGCCATTTTAAGAGTTGTGGACTCTAACTTCCAGAATTCCACAGGAATAGCGATAGGCTATAATAACCCTGACTGCTCTTTAGAAGGCTAGATCCTGAAGTTGAAACTCAAATACTTTGACCACCTAATGAGAAGGAAGGACTCACTGGAGAAGAGCCTAATGCTGGGAAAGATTGAGGGCAATAGAAGAAGGGGACGACAGAGAATGAGGTGGCTGGATGGACTCACTGAAGCAGTAGGAGTGAGCTTAAATGTACTCCAGAAGATGGCAGAGGATAGGAAGGCCTGGAGGAACGTTGTCCATGGGGTCCCGATGGGTCGGACATGACTTTGCAACTAACAACAAATAATAATAACAATAATAATAATAATAATAATAACAACAACAACAACAACAACAACAACAAGCTTGCCGATCATATTATATATTCTCCCTTCCTTCTTATACCCCAGTGAATGAGGCACTTGTTTGCCTCAGCTGATTCTGAATATTATGTTGCTTCCCAGAATTTAAAGAACATTTCAGCCCTCTTTGGCTTGATAATGGTTCTTACATATTTCTGTCAAGGTCAACCTCCATTATTCTCTACACTATGGTGCCCCATTAAGGCTCATTATTCAGAAAACTCACACATTTGAATTTATTCAAACCTGTTTCATATGTTGTCACAACTTTGTTCTGGCCGGGAATGATTTCTTGGTACAATAAAATACCAAATATGAACATAACTTATATAATGTTTGCTTACAATATAGAACAATATAATTTCAATATAATAGAGATAAAAAGGCACAATAAATTTCCATCGCAAATTTATGGATAACTTCTTAGAAATCCTCTCTGGACAAAGAGAGGACTTGGGATCCCACACACATGCTCCAGAACGACGTTCCCCACAAGGAGATCATAAAACAGCAGGAATCAAGGAATTGCCTTGGCTTCTACAGTATGCCCAAACTGTAATTGACACATTTATGGTAATAGGATTTGCATATTTCCTTTGTTAATCACTCCTGGAAATTGCTTAATGATTTTATGGATACTAAAAACCTTCCGATTGGCAAATTTCAATTCATCAAGTGAATTTCCTTCAATCTTTGAGAAATAGGTTTTGTACAAGTTTAAGTTATCAAGGTTCTGACTGATGAACCCAACCAAGCAAACACCTTTGAGACATGCTGATCTCTTATTGTAAAACTTTATTGAGTACATCACTTTGGCACTAATGAAAGCAAAACCAACTCTGGCAAGACTCCTCTCAAACCAATATACTAAAAGCACTGAATCCTCCCTCGTGTCTCTGGTCACATTGCCCAATCAAGTAGAAAAATATTGTTATGAGAAAGCATCTCTAGGTCTGGCCAGATATCTGGTGTAATGTCCTTGAGTCTCATGGTGTGGCTTCTTAATCTTTGAAGCCTGCATTCCAAACCTCTCCCCTCCCTCCAAGTTCATTGGCAAACCGCAAAGCAATATTTATCACACCAGCAAAACCATGCTTTGAAACTTGACATAAGGACTTTAAATATATATTTTGGAATAAACACCAAAAAGGTAATTAGAATGTTGATTCTGGAAAGTTATAAAGGGATTAAGAGCCCTGGTGGCACAGTGGTTAGAATGCAGTACTGCAGGCTACTTCTGCTGACTCCCAGNTGCCAGCAGTTTGGCAGTTTGATTCTCACTGGCTCAAGGTTGACTCAGCTTTCCATCCTTCCGAGGTCGGTAAAACGAGGACCCAGATTGTTGGGGGCAAAATGCTGACTGTGTAAACAGCTTAGAGAGGGCTGTAAAGCACTGGGAAGCGGTATATAAGTCTAAGTGCTATTTCTATTGCTATTAAGGAGACAGATGAATTTGACATAACATTTTGAAATTCATTACAGATAGCGCTTGACTTACAAAAATTCATTTAGTGACTGTTTGAAGTTACAACAGTACTGAAAAAGTGATTTATGACTGCTTTTCACATTTATGATCATTGCGGCTGTCATGGTTCCGACAGACGAAACTCTTCAAAGAACTTTGAGGCATTGTTTACCTTAAAGAATCTTTATTCAGCATAGGCCAAGATGGGGGCATTCATTAGTCTCCTCTTCAGTTGGTCAAAGGCCTGCTCACACTGCTCAGTCCACTCTGCCTCAATGGATTTTCGAGATTTCCTGGGTCCCTTATTCTGATGGACCTGGTTTGAATGACCAGACACATCCTCTACCTCTTCATTCTTCAACAGATCATTGAGATTACAGGCTATCTTTGCAAAACCTTCAACAAACCTCCGATAATATGAGCAGAACCCTAGAAATGATCGCAGTTCAGCCACATTTTGGGGTCTGGGCCAAGAAGTGACAGCCTCAGACTTCATGGGATCAGTTGATATCCCTTCTGGAAAG